CCTCCCCCCCCCCCCGGGCAGCAGCAAAATTGTCAAGCGTTCACCGGTCTGCAGTGATAAAAAGGTTGGGGACCACTGGCAAACACAGTACGCTGCGTCTGACGTCACGTCCTCTTATGCGCATGCGGGTCACCTCAGGGCCGTATACCGTTCACACATGAGACAGATGGCAGTCGCATTTAAATGACAGTGTGAACAACAGCACAAAAAATCGGATTTCGGCAAAAAATCCGATCTGAGCATTAAGACCTGCAGTGTGAACGTAGGTGGTAAAAAAGAATCACCACCATTCAAACTGTTTTACTTACACCTTGCCTTCCTCTTACTCGTACCTCCTTGCTTCTATCAAGCCATCAAACTTTAGCTAAAGTGAACAAAAGAGGACAATCCCGTGTTTTGATTGCCATCCTCAAATGGCCTGCAGTAAAAGGCTCCATAGCAACAATAAGTGTTCACACATTTAGTCTATACTTGCAGTCTTTTTAGGAAAGACCTTCTTCATGACATTTGTCGTCATGGTATAAAAAGTACAGGTGTCAACACTAAAATTCCTAATGCCTGAACTCCATTTATGTCTAGTATCACAGCTCACTGTCACAGTTTATTGGTGCACTTAAACAGAACACAGCCACTGTTATAAGTTAAGAGGCAAGACACAATGTCTGCTGTGAAAAATTGTTTGGTCCATAAATGCCAAGTTCTGAGTTAGAACAACTAACAAGTAATCTGCATTCTAGCTCCAAACAGATGTTAGGCCCCAGTCTAGGTAGAGGTTAAGGCCAAAGCCATGTGCCAGTTCTACAGTCATGGCCAAAAATATTGGCACCCCTGTCAGATAACACACTACTTCTCCCAGAAAATTGTTGCAGTCACAAATTCTTTGGTATTCTCATGTCTGACAAAAAACAGTGAGGAGAGAAAAAAACAAATCTGATACATTCCACACAGAACTCTAAAAATGGACTGGATAGCATGATGACCAAAACTTTGAAAATAAGACCCATGTTGTAAAGACCCTATACAGCCACAGAAGATTCACACAGGTGTTTTCAGTTATGATCCCTAGACCTCTCACCATGAAAGAGGAAGACAGACAGGGAAATGTCTGGCTTTTTATCAGCTACATTCTTCAATATGTTCGCAAGCTAGCAGCTCATTTTGTCACTTGTTTGGTGCTGGGCAAGTAGGATACAGTGGAACCATATGAATTTTACTGTATGCTATCTGGGGTGACTGGATAGAGGAGAGAGAAAAGACAAGCATCAGCACACAACAAACAAACACTTGGCAGGTTCATATGGCTGGTGACTGTTCACCAGAAACATATAGCTCTAGAGCCAGGGATACCTTCACCAACCCTAAGTATAGGGTTTATCAAAAGCAAAGCTTCAAGCCTAATTTTAAAGGTAGAGAGGGTGTCTGCCTCCCAAACCGAAAGCTAGCTAAAGGATTTTTCTCCCATTCTACTTCTGTAAACCACAAGTAGACCTGCACTGAATTTCATCATCTGCCAGTGTCCTTGAAGGTTTGTGCAAACTGCATGGGTACATCTAAAATGTATGACTGTATGCATTAAATGTGTGAACATGTTCACTTATGCAGACAACTAAAGCAATATGCACAGAGGCTCCACATAGTGACAGTTCTCTGCTGATCCGTCGCCATGAGTGAGTTTTCAGTTTACGCCATCATTTCATCCATTGTTAATAGAGAAATATTGATCAGTGCAGCAACAATATTGTTCAAAGGTAAGGATATTGTTTAGTGCAAGCTGGACCTGTACACAAACAGTTTGAACTCCTCCCCTCTGGACAGTGCTACAGGTCACTGTACGCCAAAACTCCCAGACACATGGACAGTTTCATCCTCCAGTCATCATCTGATGAACACTTAACCCATGACTGTATAACAAAATGACAACCCTTTACCTTGAAAATATACTTTTGTATAAATCTATCTGGAAACTTCCATCTGAAATGTGTGTAGATAAACATATTTTATATTTATAAATACTTTTTTTATCATACTAATGCACATTTCTTTTTCTTGTTTGCATTATTTTCCTTCTCTTGTTCTCAGTTTTATCATTTCCTCTTTGCCCTGGAAGACCACTGCATATGCACACTGTACTGAAGTAAAATTTCTCATGTGTTCAACATACCTGGCCAATTAAGCTTTTTCGACTTCTGATTCGGATTCTGACAGGTGGCAAAGTTTTTGATAAACACCTTACCATGGTCTCTGGGGAGTGAACATCAGGATAGAATCAGAGAAGTAGAGTTTCCCCTCTGACCTCTCCTACTAAAAATCTGCACCACATGCTACAGGTTGCTGCTATCCACCTACTCCAATTTTATGACATAGTAATAGATAAGATTGCATCTTAAAATAGATTAAATGGTTAGCAACATGGCATGATTAGCAAGGTTAGCTAACTCTTATGATTAATATATGTACAGATGTGGCTACAGCCTAAGTGTTAGCGCCCTTGCACATCTCTGAAACAAGGCTACATTCTGTCTGAACAGTGTTGAAGTTTAAAGCACTTTTGTCATGCATAGCTGCATGCCTTTGGTTTTTCTGAATTCTTGCTTATTCTATAAAGATCTTCAAAAATGGCCTGAACAAAATTATGGGTACCTCTGACAAGTGGAGATAAATAAATGGATCTCAGTGATATTTCAAGCAGCTGTTATTTTCAGTCAATGTCCCACAAATATTATAATCAGTTGTTCTGCCTATTTAAATTGAAAAAGTTATCAACTTCTCTGGGAGTTAATACAAAGAGGAAGATTACACAATTGTTAATAGTGTCCAGTTGCACCACAATGTATGTCACTTTCTAAATTAGAAGAAGACTCACAAATGTTAAAAACTGACGAGAGTCTGCTAATATGAATGACAATGCTTTTGGAAGAACGACCTTTATACAAATGAAACAAAATTTGAGCTTTTGGTGAGTCACATCAGCTTTGCGAAGAAGAAAAAAAATGAAAAAAATGAAGCTTCCAAAGAAACATGGAGGAGGCTCAGTTATGTTATGTTATGGCATTGCTTTGGATTGCAGGGTGCCTTAATCTGTACAAAGTTGGAGTGTAAAAAATAAAATCACTCAGTTGAGGTATTGATAGGCACCAAGTCAAAATATTTGTTTATATATGATATGGTATGATGTTTATTTATTTATCTGTCTGCTGAAATGATTAATCTATGTCTGTGCACAACAGCACTAGGTAGTCACATTGTGGCCTTGAACAGAGAAAATTGGCACACTGGTCAAAATAGCATCCAAACCACAAGGGTGAAGGAACAGAGCATGAGCTAGAGCAGACAAGGGGAGAAATATTATCCTATACACTCCAGAGCAGACCTATTAATATATAATTGCTGAACAACTGAGCAGAGTCACTTAATCTGGGCACCTTTTCATAGACATAAAGACTCAGTGCTCTACCCTAACATAAAATGAGGTGTCTAATCTTAAATACATTACTCTGTTCATCATTTTGTGCCAATGTCACAGCTGTGACAAGTTCTTGGGTAATTCAAAATGCTATAATCTCAATAACACTGATTACTGGTAGGTAACCTTTGTCACACCATGAACATGGAGCAGCCACAAACAAATTCTGCATTATGTAAATCTACTCCACTTATAAACAGCAAGTAGGCTTACATCAACTTTAACCATTGTTCATATCAGATGTCACCAATTACAGTGTGCATTAAATCATCTGTGGGTTATATCTGCCTAGGAGCCTTGATTTAAACAAATAACAGTTTTTCTCTGCTAATCACAAAGGGCAGGACCATTATAAGATGTATAGAAAAGAGGCATTTCAAAATAGGTTACACAGCCTGCCTGCATGCTCTCATCCTTTGCATGCTTCACTGACAAACAGCCGACAGGGCCCAAAGTGGCCTCCCAATGCCTCTGTGGAGATTTCTCACAGCCTGAGATGCAGCGCTAGCTGTCCTGCTACTGGGGGCTGCCCTTACGTGACGCTTGGCGAAAAAAATAACATAGCAGTCAAAAAATGGGGTACATGACTTTACACAGATGTCACTTTGTTTGATTTAGGACCTGGATGCGTAAGATAATCCATCTGACAGCGCTGGCACATCGTACTGACGGCATTAAGCCATTCAAATAAATGCCCCGTGTGGCGAGCAAAGTTGCCGCTACTGTGAAAATACCAGAGTCTGTAGATACTACAGGTATATTACAAGATCGGTACATTTAGCTTAATGTAATGCGCAAAGGCCCACTCCCTCAGTCAGCGGCTGTTAAGTACGGGTTGGCTGCCTGCTGGAGACATAAGACTGCTGGAAATAAGACTGTTGTGGTGCTTAGGGAACACACAGACCTGAACGGAGTTGGGCCGCTTGGTTCCAGGCAACAAAAGAGATTTACGAATTCTGGAAAAGACTTCTAGAAGACTGCCACTAAAATCACGCGAGAAAGCACAACTGCCATTCTGTCCTATTTTGTACTTTGGTCCTTGCTGTATTAAAAACTAAACAATTACAACATTACACTCACTGTGCATTGTAAAGGGTTAATAAGTTTGGCTCGTGCCCATGATGTAGCTAGATTATCCTGCTGTTATCAATACAGTATTAGTCACTAGGAACAGCTAAGTTAGCTAGTTAGCCACAGAGCTAACAACTGTATTTGCTTAAGAGATAGCTTGCTGTTAGCTAGCTTTTGTTTGATATAGACCATTAGCTTATTGACAAACCCCCGTCTGTGCGTCGTTGTTGCTACCAGTACCCCCCTTCCACTCCAATGCAGTGCAAACTATGGAGAACAACAGATGCAGAGTCAGTTTAATGCGATCATATAACGTCAAAACGGCAAATAAACAAAGGACAGCCTTTGTGTAGAAGGTGAATTTCGGTGTGGTGGTAATACGACCAACTGTCAGGGTTAGCGAGTTCACTGACACCCATTTCGGGCATTCCTCTGCTCATTTGTGAAACAAAGCAAGGTTATAGGACAGGAGAGGCAGCTCAGACTAGATTTACCAGGACTGTACATACAAACACACAGACAACATCCTATGCTGTGTGTGAGTGTGTATGCGCGCGTGTGTGCGAGCGAGAGAGACCTCGTCCGCGACAGTACAGTGACAGGTTTGAGCTGAGACCTTCTGCTGCCGTGACTAGTTGTTTGGACCCATCAGGACCGTGCCAGCTCTCTAACCTTTGTAATGGACCCGCAGGTTGTTCTGTGACAGCCCAATGTAGCTGTATTTATCCTTGGGGCTCCAGGATCGGGGTAAAGGGGTCTCTTCCTCGTTCACAGCCGGGTAGAGTCGTTTCAGCCGCTCGTTCAGCTCGTGCTCCTGGTAATTAAAAGCAGGATCCCCTAAAGCCAGGCTTCCCGCTCCAAGCTCTGCCATTTTTGGCCTCTGTCTGGTATCTTATTGTTCGTTTCTTTCTATCCAAAGACAAGTGTCAGTCCGCTGGAGCTCTAGGCTGAGAGTGAGAGGGACTGAGGGGAGAAAATAGCAGCGGTGTGACATCCCCGGATAAGCAGAATGTACTGTAGGCTGGAACAATGCCGTGTGGGTACTGTAGTTTAGCTGCGCGCTTACTTTTCTGCTAATGTAACTAGAAATGAGTACACAGCTCCACTACGATACCTTGGTTTACGGCTTCCACTGAGAAACGTAGCAAGGAATTGTAGTTTTTCCGCAGGGGCTGTTACAGCCAGTTTTAAAATAACATCATATAGTTTAACCTTCATCTCTCATCTATACGTGTCTCAACTATGAGAGAAAGTGGAACATAAATAGGTCTTATCTTTGCTAGCTATATGAAGATAATTTATATCACTATAACTTTAAGAACGAAAACAAAGTGTAATATTTTCAAAATGTTTATTCCTAAAAAACAACTTTTATATTACTTTGTAATTGATTGAAGGTGCAGATCTGTGATATTTATAAAGTAAGTTACCCTTTAGATTCGTTATTAATCATATATTTGCTACTAGCACTTGTCATGATTAATGATATTATAGATATCTATTTAAACCTTTACAATAAAAGATCATCTCTTTGCAGTGTGAAAATAAGTTGGGCGCGCCGCGGACTACTAAGTGGGGTCTTCTTGCATGCCCGTCCTTGTTACCATAGAAACCGTACTACAGTGCTGTGGTGATCTTCAGTGCTAAACGGAACCAATTCAGCATGTTATACAAGCAAGAGCGTTTTACATTTTTATATAGCCTTCATATAGTCGCTAAAGATGTCACCACACAAAGATATTAAATTTCCACCTCTAACGCCGTCACAAAAACAAAGGCAAGTAATAAAGATGTTCACGTACAGCGAAAACATTTTAACTATTAACATATAGCTTGACTAGCAAACGCTAAACTAAACTGTTAAACTCAGCTTACCTTTGTTTCTTTTTATTTTAGACTTACAACTGACCATAGTGCACAAAAATGCACTCTTCCCACGTCAAAGGAGAGCCAAGAAGAAGAAAGTGTTAAAGCTGTTTTTGCCCAACCATCTTCAGCGAGAAAGGTAAGAAAGCCACTTACAGATTCATAAAACCCGTCAGTAAGCTTACTTTATGTTATTGAAAACGAATAACAACTCCAGTAATTTGATTTCTGTAAATGTTATTTGTTAAAATATTCTTTCACTGGCCCATCCTTTCTGCACACGTATGCGTATGGTGAACACTGAAGTTATCCTGGACAGGAAGCAGTTACATTTATGCAAGCCCAGGAAGAAAGCCCCAACTCCTGATGCAGCTGGAGAGCTATGTGAAGAAGAGGCTGCACATGATCAACCCACATGAGCCAGAATATCAGGAACTGAAACTACAGGTGATGTATTTTTGTTTTGTTGTTGTTTTACAATTAAACCAGGAGAACTGCCATGCACACAGTTTCTCATCATGGTAACTAGATATCTTAATCTGCTTTGGCCACAGGTCTACCGCAAAGTCTTTGGTTGTTTCATCAAAGAGTTCAAAACTTATCAACCACTTCTCTCTGCCATCAAAAAGGAATATGAAAACACTTTAGGTCAGTATTTTTACAATTAGGTCACTGTAAGCCTGTCTGATCATTTTTAATTTCTAAAGAATTACACAATTATAACAATTACTCTAAATAGGTTCTGTAAGTGCTATAAGATACTGTATATGGAAAAGCAGCCTTTGACAAAAGGAGGAAATAAACTTCAACAAAGAAGTCAACCCCAGTCGATTTTGGGCTTGAGGCGAGGTATACCCTTGACAGTCTTATCACTGGGCTGACCACTCATAAATCATAATGGATTTAATTTACAATGATATGAGAAAAATTAAACATACTGTATGTTTGAGCTGAAGAAGCTTACTAAAGGGCTTATTCAGTATACTGTCAATATTAATCATTTCAACCCTAAAGTTTTGTAATAGATCCTTTAACATGTATTATACATTTGTTCAGCATATCAGCAGAATCAAATCCGAGAACTGAAACCACTGCGATCCCATCTGAGGCTGGTGACAGAGGAATGTGACAGGAAGATTCTAGCTCACTGGGAAGAGGAGCACACTGAAATTGGAGCCTTGAAAAGGGAGAAGCAGGAACTACAGAGGAACATTGATGCCATGAGGGAGAAAGAAAAGGCCATGCAGGCAGTGGTACATGACATATTTGTGGTGCTCTAACTATTTATTTATTTATTCATTTATTACTCTGGACAGGCTGCCAGTCTATTACAGGGCCAACACATAGAGACAGTCAACCACTGGCATTCACATTTCTAACTAGGGGCAATTTAGAGTCACTGATTAACCTAATCTGCATAAGACATGCACTACACTGTGGGAGGAAGCTGGAGTAGACTCAGGCAGGCACATATGTATGAAAAAGCTATTTATGGCTCTTATCAAAAGAATGAATCAGTTCAGATTGTAAGGTGGCTAGTAGATTATCACTATCTTGTCTCTCCACACCCCATTCTCCTCTTTTTCACTCCAGGTGGACCATCTACAGTCTGAACTGTCTAACCAGTATGTGAAGTACCGGTATGAGTGTGAGGCCCGCAAGTTGCTAATCTGGCAGCTCAATGAGCAAACAAGAGGCTCTGCGAAGGAGGAGCATTCTGCCTATGAAAATGCAGGTAGAGCTGCAACTATTTGTTGATTATTCACAGTGTTATGGAAGCTACTTGAAAGCATAGCGTTGCAATCAGTTACTACACACTGGAAGAAGTTGAACTACAGCAAAGCTATTCTAGGGAGAAATCTAGTTTGGTTAACTAAAGCTACTTAAAAAAGTAGCACAAACTACTTTGTAAAAATTATGAAATTGACAGTGTGTATGTTAAGGTCAAGGTCAGGTCAAAGTGTTTATTTGTCATATGCACAGTTAGGAAACGTGTTTCCCTGTACAATGAAATTCTTACTTTGCCTTCCACATGAATGCCACACAATACAAATGAAATATAAAGTAGATAAATAAGTAACACACAATCTAAGGCACTTTAAGCAGCAAATGAAGAGATGTAATAAATATACAGTATATAAGAATATAATAAGAGCATGTATGCTACATGGGAGCTGTATGTGCAGTAGTCAACACTGAAGGTGCAATTATGCATGAGAATATAAACAGTACAGGTCGACAGTACATCATTACATGACGTATTTCTTGGTAATAATCTCCTGTCAGCTGTTTAGGAGTCTGATGGCAGAGGGAAAGAAAGAGTTTTTAGTCTAGAAACCTGACCTGCACAGGTCATTGAGTTTAATTCTATCCGGGGTGCATGTTGGTAATTTGTCACCCCCACACTTGTAATGATACAGCTGCAATTTTATTCTGTGAACCTGCCGGCTCTCCTGTGATTTCAATCCCATCCAGAGCGACGTCCATGTATTTTAAATTATGTTTAAGCTTCCTAAAGAGCCACATGTGTGTCTGCACAGTGGGAAATGATTAATGTGATATAAAATCATAACAAAATATAGTACAAAAAGTCACATCCCAGCAAAAATGGGATTACCTGGGACCTAAACCTAAATCAAGCAATTTTATTATGGGCTTTTCATAATGATCAAAATTCTAAGGAATGCTATATTTTTGTTTTAAACAAATCTGGATTTTGTACACTGTTTGACTGACTTCGGATTTAAAAATGGACCTGTTGTCCTACTTATCAGTTTTGTAACATCTAACTGGTACAATCTTGACAACAACAGTCTTCATTTGGCACCTTTTTATGTGAACAGCTTGAACATTGGTCTTTACTTGTCAGAGCAGAATCTATTGTTTATATAACACATGAGCAGTCTTTTAAAGTTCTTATCTGAGAGGCACTTGCCAGGTTCTTGCCAATGTAGAAAAGCTTCTCACATGTAACATGGTTAAATAAACATTTTTCAAAAATCATTCCTTTCCATCATTCCTTAAAGCTCACTATTGAACACTTTTATCTGGTTTGTTTTATGCACTATGCACAGCTGAGAAATGGTCCACCTGGCTCCAGCTACATATTTACTGTACAAACTCAAGAGTGGTATTGATCTTCTCATCGACCTCTCAGCAAGTGAATAGGTGCATTTTCTAAAATGTCAAACTATTCATTCGAATAATGTATTTCAGTGCTCAGTGAAAAAGTCATTGCTAAATAAGCGACTCAACCAAATACCTAAATATATAACTAGTTACAACTAGCTACAAATATAAATGTAACTAATACACAAACATAACTATGTATAACAAATATAAATATTAACTAATACACAAACATAACTATGTATAACACAAATATAAATGTAACTAATACACAAACATAACTATGTATAACAAATATAAATATTAACTAATACACAAACATAACTATGTATAACACAAATATAAATGTAACTAATACACAAACATAAATATATATAACGCAGATATAACTAGCTACAAATAAGATTGTGGTTTTTTGTTTTTGTTTTTCCTTGTGAAAGAAGAGGAAAAGGACCCAGTGGAGCTGCAGCTTTCTCTGAAGGTGTGTCAGGAAGACCTGACTAAAGTGCAGGAGGAGCTCAACAGGATGAAGGCGGAGTACTGGGATGTTGTCCCTCAACTGAAGTGCGACACCCTGGAACAAACACACAGACAGACTCTCCTGCAGGTAACTCATTTAGACACATACAGTAAATGCATGCAGGTACAAATACACATAAATAATGACATTAAGCTATTGTCAGTCTTCATCATATTCTTTTATTTCTATTTTTCTATTTGCTGTCTAGTTGAAGACACTGCAGGGTGACTTTAATTGCTTGAAGAGAGAGTATGACACCCTGCTAGAACTCCATAAAAGAGGCAAAGTGCACGCTGAGATACATGACTCCACCACCTTGCAGGTACATGATCTATTGGTGGTTACAGTGTGTTGTGGTGAGTCTCAATGAAATTGGGTTTCTTCAAATTTGATTCTAAAGGCAATGGTGTGTAAATGTGTGGCAGTATATTTGCTAATGTAGAATTGGATTTTGCAACACCAAAAGTTCCTAAAAGTATTAATGAAGGTGCACAAATTTGATAAAGAAATTTAGACCGACCTTGCATAAAGAAATGTTTTAATAATAGGTGGGTGACATGCTTATTCATTTTGTTGCTGAGCGTTATATTGTAAGTTATCACTATACTGACATGTATGATTCTTACAGTGAGAAACAAGCTGTCTCCACTTAGAGACTAAGGAGTACAAAGGACTTAGAGGAGTACAAAGGACTGATTGAGAGCTTTGTCACAATCAGTGACAATCACCTGGAGCTCAATATCAGTTAAAACCAAAGAGTTTGCATTGGACTACCAGGAACATAAGGCCACCAAACGCTAATCAGTTCATCCTTGAGTTCAAGTGGACATTTGAGCCAAATTTGAAGAAATTCCCTCAAGGTGTTCCTGAGATATCGAGTTCACAAGAATGGGCCAGACAGGCACACACTCCGAAAGCATAATGCCTCCGACTGCAGCCATCTCTGGTTCTGAGGCATAAAAAGCAAGAGAATTTCCCCAAATGCTATACTGTTCCTTTTAAATTTTATTTGTTTTTTCCAGATGGATGAATGTGTGTCTCAAGGACAAAGCCAGATTCGGTATAGCCAGTTAAAAGAGCCAATCAACTCTGATACTGTATCTCTGAGAGCAGCACACTTACTGTCCAGGAGTTTAGGTGATATAAATAGATGCACACACAATTGTAGTCAAGTCAGCTTTATTTATGTAGCCCAAAAATCACAAAATATCCTCAGAGGGCTTTACAATCTGACATCTACCTTTAGATCCTTAATTCAGAAACAGAAAAACCTCTCCATAATATGATGTTTCCTGTTGCTGTATATGTTTCTCTCTCACCAAACTGTCTTTTGTGTATATGTGTATGTACATAGGACAGCCCTGAGGACAGCATTCCCTCTTAAGTCAGATGAAGAAATAAATGAGCTGGTGGCTGCGACTCAGAGCGAACCAGACAGCAGTTAACACCATCTCTTCCCAGAGATGCGACAGCTTGGTACATATCAGGAGAGATTCACTGAGGTTCACTGTCTTTTCAGGCTGATTTTAGTTTATGTACTCTGCAAAATAAGACCTTTGTGCTCTCATTTGGTGAAGAAATTTAACTTTAACATTAACAGAAATTATGGCCACAAATACTAATGTGGCCGTTTCAGTAAAGAAATGTCAAATTAAAACAATTTTTTAAAATATATTGAGCTTTTGAATAGTCTTCTGCTCAGCTTGGAAGACTGATTTTTTTTAATTTTTTTTACTTCAATGCTCCAACAGCTTGCAAAATTTGGTACAGCAGCCTTCCCTCCAGCTCTTGATATACACACACACACACACACACACACACACACACACACACACACACACATATATATTACATTTAGTTACTGGAGACCTAAGTCTCAAACAAATCATTATTAGAGAAAACAAAAGAGCTATGATAGAACAGCATCTCTACAATTCTGAAAAAGGCTGGTCTTACATGAACATTACTTTAACCTAGAGAGCAATGGTTTGATGAAAACCCTACTTCTAAAAGATAATTCTTGATAAACAGTATAGGGAAGAGGAACTATTTCACATTAGTGCAGAATTCTTACATGCTTACTTACAGGAAAACCCTGAAGAAAGGGCAGTATCTCTCCAAGTAGGTTTCATTCATGCGCACCTCACAGACTAGTGACAGCTCATTGCATTATCAGAATGAGTGGTCCTCATGGAGCCAAAAGTCTTGTCATTGTCAAGATCTGACACTGAAGCGTCAGTCACCTGCAGAAAACTGAGTATCCCATTCAGAGCTGTTGGGTCTGCTTCTTCACTATCAGCATAATGAGCCAACAAAAGCCAATCCTGATTTTGCAGTATCTTAAGAAATGCCCTTTTTTGGGTTCTGATTGATCTTCTCTGTGTAAATCTGACCACTTCCCCAGAGAAAAGCATTTCAGTAACCACTGGGAAAAGAGGGCTCTTATGAAATGAGAGGTTTATAAGTGTCATGTCCAGTAGTAGCAAGAGCAACAGAGACAAAAAAAAAACCCAACAAGATTGTGTAAAAATAGTTGGTTCTTTTCAGGTTGGCTGTGTCTGATCTTTTTTTTAAATGCTTCTTAAAACACATTTTACAAACTGGCCTTCCTGTGATCTTTTATCATACTTTTTATTCTCCTTTAGACTGTGTTTTATTTCACTATTATGTTTTATTTTCTGTAAAGCACTTTGTAAACCCTGTTTAGTAGCAGTACCTGGACAGACTGAGACAACAAAACATACCTAAGTTATGGCTGTAACGCAAGACTCCCGCCAATGCCCCCATGACATGAACCACGTATGCACACACAGTGTACCCATGTCAAAGTGATGTAAAGAAGGTTGGTGTGGAAGTCCAGGGCAAGACGTGTTTAGGGAGTTTTCTGAGAAGCAGGTCAAGGTTAAGGTGGGGTGCTTTAGTTTAGCCATGCCCTTATTAGCCTCTTTGAGCTGATGCCAAAGTTTAAGTAAAACACACATACAAAGTGTTTTCCTCAAAATTGATTAATGCATAGGCCTATATATTAACTTGTACATAACAGCATGTCACAGCTGCACTTAAATCTTTCACAACTCTAATAGATGTGGGAGAGAACTGTTAATGAAATTTTAATACACAGAACAAATTTCTTTTTATATAGTTCTACTTTCTGCTAGGATTCATGTGTGACAGAAGTAGGGCTGGACTCAAATATTTTAGTAGATAAATCCGTTTTCAATTTTAGCATATGAGTATTCAGAGCCCAAAAATTGCCATTTGGGACAGCCCTACACAAAAGGTTTTCCTCCTAAAAACCGATTTTAGATTTAAAAGGAAAAAAAAAAAGATAAATTCAGAAATATTTGCCGTAAAACAATTCTATAGCCATAGTCTGGTGATACCATGAGGCTCTGAAGGTGGTGAAAACATAAAACATTTTAAATCAATTTAACAAACTTATTTTTAATTATAGCATCTATAGAACATAAGCATTGATTTTGAATCATGTGTCTGTTTGCTGCTAGGCAGGAAGTGTACAGTTAGTTTATTAGAGGTTTTACACTGAAACTGCCTACTACTACTAAAAATTGCTAATAGGAGCCAAACAAAAGTAAATCTACAGTCTGGAAAACCAAAACACCGAGTTGAAATACATTAGAACGCTTAGTAAGTCTAAAGTTGGGAGACAACTGTGGATGTAGTATAGCAACATGAACTGGAAAAGTCATCTCTGACTTCCTTCTACAGTCAAAGACATGCAGGTTAGGTTAACTGGAGACTCAAAATTGCCCAGTGGGGAAGAGACAGCATTTTCTTCAAACCCAGCTGGTCAGCATGTGCACATATAGGCCTCTGACAGGAACCGTGCTTCAGTAAAAGACTTCATTCATTGCTGTGAACTAGCAAGTTGCAACGGTTTAATTACTGTGTACTGCTAATTGATTCTGCCGTTTCCTTTAACAAAACATCTCCAAGTATTTGCAATATAACAGTGTGACCAGTTGACTCCTACGTTGTGTCGTGCTGGGGCGTGTGTGGTGGCTGAAGGACCCACGAAACACCAGGACTGCGTTTGGAGGCGCGCTCCGTTTAATCTGACAACATGAAATAATCAGCACCTAGCATGTGCTGCGGGAACTCTCTCCCTCTCTCCACACACGCACACACGCACGTTAGTGTACTGGCATACATCGTTGTCGGAACAAAGCTAAGTAATTAGCATCGCCAAATGTCATAACAGCGTAATAAAAGTACATACATGAGTATCAGTCATCGTTTATACAGAAGTATAAATAAAGATCTGGGCACAAGAAAAAAAGGATCACAATGGATTATAAACTGACCTCTTCCCAATGGAACATATCAAAACGGAAGAGGGTATGACAATATCGTATTTATATGACAAACGAAGAAACAAGGCGGAGCTGGAGGTCGCAACCCAATACACAACATATAGGAAACATTTGGGCTCTGGATGTCAGAGTATGGATAAACAGTAATTAAACCTAGTAAACAACTTTGTAATTATGTTAGAACATAGGGACCGGTTACAACAGCAACACAACTTCAGATGCTGAACTAACTCTTCGTATACTGTGCATATCCCTGTTCTCATCAGTTCCACCTCTACATAAAAGATATAATTCCTGCAGAATCTGAGGTCTCAGGCTGTTGTGTGGATAAAGAAACTTGAAATGCCTGGGGGGCAGCTGAGGCCGCGTGTAGGTGTCAACATACACATATACAGTGGCAAGAAAAAGTATGAACCTTTTGGAATTTCATGGTTTACTGCATTAATTTGTCATAAAATGTGATCTGATCTTCATCTAAGTCAAGAGTGCTGACGAATATAATGTGCCTAATATAACAAAAAAATACTGATCTTTCATGTCTTTGAGAACCATAAAAACCACAGTGCTAGTGGAACAAGTGTCAGGATCAGCGCATGAAGCTGCCAATAATGTCGCGGGTGAACTCTATTAAATTGCCAGTGAATAAACGTCTCTTTACTAAGTACAGTAACGCTTAACTAAAACAAGACAAGTCACGGTGAACACACGAAACACACTTACAGATTGATGATATAGTCCATGGTCAGAGCCAGCAAACACATACAAGAAATCCAAAGTTCGTGGTCCAAAGGGAAGTCCGTTAAGCCGATACACATAGAAGCAGTCCGAAACAAGGCAGAACAGAATTGTCAAAACACACGATCCGGGTCAAAATACCAAAATCAAATAGCGCTGGAGAGCTGAATGTCTGTACATCAGCTGAAACTCTGTTGATGATATAGTCCATGGTCAGAGCCAGCAAACACATACAAGAAATCCAAAGTTCGTGGTCCAAAGGGAAGTCCGTTAAGCCGATACACATAGAAGCAGTCCGAAACAAGGCAGAACAGAATTGTCAAAACACACGATCCGGGTCAAAATACCAAAATCAAATAGCGCTGGAGAGCTGAATGTCTGTACATCAGCTGAAACTCTGTAGACGTTGGGTCAATGGTCAACAGGACAATGACCAAAAACACTGGAGCAAGTCCACAACAGAATGGCTTCAGAAAAACAAAATCTGCCTTCTGGAGTGGCCAAGTCAGAGCGCAGACCTCAACCAAATAGAGATGCTATGGAATGACTTAAAGAGGAGCCATATACAGGAAACGTCCAAAGAATATGACGGCGCTAAAGCAGTTTTGCCAGGAAGAATGGGCTAAAATTTCTCCTAAACAATGTGCAGGTCTGATGGAGAGCTACAGGAAGCACCTGGTTAAGGTTATTGCTGTCAAGGGGGGGTCAACCAGTTATTAATTCAAAGAGGAGCCATATACAGGAAACGTCCAAAGAATATGACGGCGCTAAAGCAGTTTTGCCAGGAAGAATGGGCTAAAATTTCTCCTAAACAATGTGCAGGTCTGATGGAGAGCTACAGGAAGCACCTGGTTAAGGTTATTGCTGTCAAGGGGGGGTCAACCAGTTATTAATTCCAGGGGTTCACTTACTTTATACACTACCATTTTGAATGGTGAATGAGTGTCTTCAATATTCATTTTTTTATCTGTTGTTAATTTAGGCACATTATATTCGTCAGCACTCTTGACTTAGATGAAGATAAGATCACATTTTATGACAAATTAATGCAAAAAACCATAAAATTCCAAAATGTTCACATACTTTTTCTTGCCACTGTATGTCAATGGGTGTCACACTAGGCCAGGAGCCAGTGGCCCATCAGGCTCTTCCAAAAGGGAGGCCAAGCTGCGATACACTTTAAGCACAAACACCTGCTGGGTAGCCTCTTGCATGTGATAATCACAGTCTTGATATTTGACACAGTTGTATGTAATTAAAGCAGCAGTTTCCTAATGTATACACA